TTACTTTCAATAAAATTTTAAATTTTAAATAATAGAAAATAAGTTTATTAAATGAATTAAATTAGAATAGTTTATTAAATACTTTTATTTAATGCTTATCAAATTTGTAATTTAAATGCTTATGTTTTTAATTCAAATATAAGACGTAAAACTATTTTGTAAATATTGAGTAAAAGTTGTTTGAAGTATTTTTAATTGTTATTTAAAATTAAATTTACTAAAATATAGTTAATAACTGTTTAAAATATTTTAAACAATTTTCAATAATAATTTACTGATGGCTTGGTATTGCAACAAAAGTGCTTATTAAATTCTTAAGTAAAATAATTTTCTTTTAGCTAAAGTAACATCGTCCACCAGTAAATTAACACCTTATTATTGGATAAAACTGAACAAGATAAACATAAGTGATTATTAGGAAAATGATGAATAAAAATTATTGTTGCGGCACCCGTTAAACTAAAGGAGAATGAGGGGGAGGGGAAATCAAAAACATAACCCCCCCCCTTCAACAATGCTGAAAAAAAAACCATATCCCCAAATAAACTCTAGGTTCCTCACTGATATATATATATATATATATATATATATATATATATATATATATATATATATATATATATATATATGTATATATAAATATATATATATATATATACATATATATATATATATATATATATATATATATATATATATATATATATATATATATATATATATATATATATGTATATATATATATATATATATATATATATATATATATATATATATATATATATATATATATATATATATATATATATATATATATATATATATATATATATATATATATATATTAGGTTGTTAGCCAGCCTGATGGCACCGCGTATAACGCGGTATTCTTAATTTGTTTAAATTTCCCAAAATTGAATGACCTTTTTTTTTTTTTTTTTTTTTGTAATAATAAGACAATTTAATTAAAGTTTCCCAATATTTTGTAGAACTATAAAAATAAATGTTCCCAATATTGCAGAAACGCGGTAAAAAAAATTCCTGGCTAACACCCTGTGTATATATATATATATATATATATATATATATATATATATATATATATATATATATATATATATATATAAATGCTTGATACATTAGCTAATGCATAATAAATTACTGCAAAATAAGTTCAACTGAAAAATTAAATCAATTAACTAAAACAATGTAGAAATGTTATAATGCTAATATATTGTTGAATATTTATTCTAATATGATTTTTTTTTCAATATTAAATAATTAATTTTAATATTACGTTTTTTTTTTAATACTTAAATAAACTAGTTATAGTCTGTTCTATTTAAAAAATAAATAATAATAAATTAAAAATGCTAAATTTTTAAATTATCATTTTTTAAGTTGTATCATTTTTTAAATTGTACTAATAATAATAGTTATACATCAATTCACTTAAGAAATCAGTTATTTGTTGAGAAATTTGCTTTAAATTCTTTGACCATTTTATGTGCTTCCACTTAGCACCTCTTTTATCACCTTTTTGTTCTTTATTTTTTTTTCTTCTTTTACTAATTTAGATGACTGAAATTTTTTAGATTTTTGATCCAATTGATCAAAAAAATGTAATTTCTGATCAACTATGCCCTTTCTCTCTACCTTTTGTCCAAAAGTGTTTTTATTGGTGACTTTAATGCTCATCACACTGAAAGACTTGGCTCTAACATTACTGACCCTGCTGGCACTTGAACTCATAACATCTGCATTTCTCAATCTCTTACTGACTGGGATTCTTTTCGTAATTTTCTTTGTGATGGTCCTTAGGCTGATGTCTTTCTTTGTTTTCTCCACTGATAAATGTGCCTCTTAAATGCAGGCAGTATGGAAATTTAATACCTTTTGGTTGTTTCCAAGTCAAGCCTCATTCTATTATATGGTTTTCACCTTCTTGTGCAGCATGTCTAGTCTTAATCATGCATATCTGATCCTAATCATTTTTTTCATCATTTTCAAAAGAACAATTCCTTTAAGAACAAACACCTATTTACTATTGCAAGAAATTGATGCAAAAAGGTGCTGTCAAATGTTAAGCTCCATTATTCTCAGTTCATTAAATCTCGTATTTTATCTGAGAAGTTGGGCTCTAGAAACTTTTGGATAATTTTTTGCTGGATGTAGCGAACTGTCACACAGGCTGAGAGAAATAGTTGAGTTTGTTAATAAAGTTTACTGCCAAATGTGGTTCAATATAAGATAATCCCTCATGTGGTTCAATATAAGGTAATCCCTCATGCACGGAAGGTGCTAGACATTTATGGCTTACCATCAATTTATCCAGCTATGCCAGTAGTGAAATAAAATATTTCATAGATCCAGTTATATAAAGGAATGCTTTTTTTGTGCATCCAAAAAACATGCTTCTTGCTATGATATTTGATACTCGCCCAAATGTGAGGAAATTGGCATTACAACAAACAATGAAAGCAAGATTGATGAAAATAAACAGAGTTCGAAAGTTCTCTATACCAGAAATCACTTTTGAAGCAAAAGACTATATAGATTTAATTGATTGGAAAAAATCTCACACTTCATAAAACTCACATTTCAGATGAAAATCTAATTGAAATGTTAACAAATGTTTATCTTCCAGATGTGCAGCATTTTCCATGCCATACTCAAGGAGTAGAAAGATGCATCAAAATTGTATAACAATAGTTAGTCGCTCTATAATAATTTCAAATTCAAAAAAAGTTGTTTTTCGATTCACCCTTATTAAAATGTTGTGTTTTTAAAATGAATTTGTTTATATTTAAATTATTTTAATAAGAACTGAATTAAATTTTAAATAAAACAATTAAAATAAAATTTAGCTAAATTCTAAATTAAATAATTAAAATAAAAATGATAAAAGTAACAAGTTGGAAAAAGTAACGCTGTTATGAATTCTAAATTAAATCTTCAAAAACAAGAAAAATAAAATAATAAAAACAAATGTTTTATTTAAATTGTAAACAAAATAATTGAAATAAAAATGGATAAACTAACATTTTTATTAGTTCTAAATAAAATAATTAACATAAAATTGCCAAAACTAATGATTCATTTAAATTCCTAATAAGTTTGTAAAATGCTTATTTTGTTTTTTAAATTTTTAAATAAATGCTGAAGTTTGATAGAAATGTCAGTGAACTCGAAGTGTGTGTAGAATAAACTAAATGGTAAAATGTAGTATTATATAAATATATATATATATATATATATATATATATATATATATATATATATATATATATATATATATATATATATATATATATATATATATATGTATATATATTTATATATACATATAAATATATATATATATATATATATATATATATATATATATATATATATATATATATATATATGTATATATATATATATATATGTATATATATATATGTGTGTGTATATATATATATATATATATATATATATATATATATATATATATATATATATATATATATATATACATATATATATATATATATATATATATATATATATATATATATATATATATATATATATATATATATATATATATATATATATATATATATATATATATATATATATATATATATATATATATATATATATATATATATATATATATATATATATAAGAATATATATATATATATATATATATATATAAGATATATATATATATATATATATATATATATATATATATATATATATATATATATATATATATATATATATATATATATATATATATATATATATATATATATATATATATATATATATATATATATATATATATATATATATATATATATATATATATATATATATATATATATATATATATATATATATATATATATATATATATATATATATATATATATATATATATATATATATATATATATATATATATATATATATATATAGTTAATAGGATAAATACTTAAATTACTAACACTATTACCCTTTCAAAAAATTATCAGAAATGCTGTTTTGAGATTAGGTATTCAAAAAAAATATAGTTAGTTGTGTTTTGTTACTATGACTAATTGTTGTGATGGACAAAGTTGTAATCACTTGAATATGCCATGCTTTTGATTGTGAAGATGTTTTTTGTATGAGAACGTTTCATATGGGTACCCCAGAAAATTTTTGTCACAGCGATTATTAAGTCAACAGTAGAATGACATGAATGAAATTCATCCATCAGCAAACTTCATAAAGAGATGTTCGAGGTTGTCAAATTTCAAATTATTATTAAAAATATAAAGCTACAAAATCTTTTTTTTTTTAAATTTAAAAATTTCTACAAAAACTTTTATTTTGTAAAATAAATTGATGTTGCTCCTCATTTTGCACACACTTGCGGAAATTATCAATAAGCTTGATTCCTCTTTCAGCTCAATCAATTTGTTTTTTATAAGTTTGAATTATACCATCAGCGATATTAAAAAGTAGTTATAAGGGTTAAAATAATTTCCAGATTTTTTTAAAAACCACAGCACATTTTTCAGCAGGCAAGAAAACAAAAATTGTTCAGTAGTTCAGAGTATAAAAAAAAAATTCTAGAGCATTATGACTGTAACTTATGAATATTGTCCAGACCGCAAACTATAGATTGGTCAGAAGTAACTTTGGTAACGCAAGCAGAATTGATTTAGATGTGTACCAGTGTGTTAACATGTTTCTTTGGGGTAACTGGATTAGCGTGGTCATTAAATTTAAGAGATATGTTAAAGGAAAAGTTCTTTGCAACTATTATATAATTTATCTTAAGAGATTTTAGCATACTTATTATTTATGTTTAGTCTTTATAAGAAAGCTGGTAAATATTTATTGAAATAAATTCTTTTTTAACAATCACATTTGTCTTAATATTCTTTTATTTATAAATAGCAACTTTAAATATTCGTTAGTGTTATTATTTATTATGCTTTTTTATTTACTTATAGTTCAAACATTGTTGCAACGTTTGGTGCATCCTTTGGTTTTACATTAATTATGTCTCAATTTTTTGAAGCTGGTGACTATCTTTTCGTTGAAGATTTAACATTTGCTTTTATTACAAAAACTGCAAGTAATTATGGAATGAATGTAATACCAGGTATAAAAAAGTGCAAATAACTATATAATAAATTTAATTAATTAGCATTAAAAATTTTATTGAATAAAATAATTTTGTCAATAAAAATATCTGAAAAATTTCTAGCCAATATCTATTACAAGAAATGATTGTTTTGTTAATGTATTCATTATTACATTTTTTTATATATACTTTACTACATTAATAGTGTAAAAAAAGAAGATATAAAATTAATTGGACTAATTAACCTATATATATATATATATATATATATATATATATATATATATATATATATATATATATATATATATATATATATATATATATATATATATATATATATATATATATATATATATATATATATATATATATAATATATATATATATATATATATATATATCCAAAATTTATTTTAAGCACAAAAAATGTAAATATTTTAATAAACAAGACAAACTTTTTAATTAATAAAACCATTTTATTAATTCTAAACAATACATGTTTTGAATATCACTAGTCATCTTCACAGGGTTCATGGCACTCAGGGAAAACCTGGAAAACCAGGGAAAAGTTTTAAAAATTTAGAAATTCAGGGAATACCTGGAAAAGTCAGGGAATATTTGTTAAAAATCTGTAAAATCAGAGAAAACTCAGGGAATATTTTTCAGTTTTATATTTAGCTTGAAGTTATTTTGCAAAATACACATTTTGAGTGTTTATTGTTATTGAAAGTTGCTCACTAAAGTGGTTTTTTAATTTTTATATTATATAGTAACTATATGTTTAGCTAAATGTATAAATAAATATAATAATATAAGACATGACTTCAGAAAATAAAGACTTATTTTCAAGAGGATTGGTTACAGCAAGATATTTATAAAGGTTGGTTAGTTCCCAACGCACATGCAAAAACTAAAGCTTATTGCAAAAAATGTAAAAAATCATTTGAATTATCCAAAATGGGTATTCAGGCTGTTAAAAGTCATGCAGCAGGTATTTATATTAACTTTTTTAACGCAAGAGTGAGAATTAAAAAGAAATGTCACTTGATTGATTCATTATTTTGTTTTTCAATATCAGTTTTAAACACATAATCAACTTGTAATCAACTTTTAATTGCAACCTGTTTCAGTTGTTTTCTTTGTTGGTTGGTTGCTTATATTGTTATTTAAAACTTTGCAAGCTAAACAGATTGAAAAAAAAGATAAAAAGAGACAGAGACATTTTAAATGTTTCATTATTTAAAAGTTAGACATTTTAAATGTTTCATTATTTAATTATCTTGTTTTAGGTAAGAAGCATCAGTCTGTTACAAAGCCTGTTACTTGTTTCTTTATTAATGGCAAAGAGTTGCATGCTGAACCACTTGGAAGTAAAGAAAAAATATCCACATTTTTCACCAAAAAACAAGTAACTATTGTCTTTTTAATTAAATCATCGTTATCAACTAATGCTGAGATCATATGAGCCCTGAAATCTACAATGAGCTGCTACTCTAATAACTCATGTGCAAATTTAAACGACACTTTTAAAAAGATGTTTCCTTATAGCAAGGTAGCAGAAGATTTCACTATGAGCACCTCAAAAGTATCATACATTGTTAACCATGGACTAGTCCCATACTTCAAGACACTTTTAAAAGAAGAAATCACAAAGTCTGATTGTTACATTGTATCTTTTGATGATGAGAGTTTAAACGACATAACCCAAACTTGTCAGATGGATCTACTTGTTCGGTATTGGGATGGTAATGATAAAGTTAAAGTGAGATATTGGACATCAGCATTTCTTGGTAATTCTGCAGCTTCTGACCTTCTTACACATTTCAAGGAAAACTTATCAAGATTTGATTCAAGTAAAATGTATCAAGTTTCCATGGATGGACCTCTACGAATCTGAAATTTCTAGATGATCTTAATAAACACAGAAAGGACAACGAGATGCCACAACTTATAAATATTGGAAGTTGCTATTTGCATGTAATCCATGGTACTTTCAAAACAGCTATCGAATCAACAACATGAAATATTAAAGAAACTTTAAAAGGGTCTTGGCAAATTCTTCATGATAGCCCAGCTAGACATCAAGATTATGAAACAGTTGCAGGTGCAACAAAATACCCTCTTTTTTTTTTGCGGAGCAAGATGGGTTGAAAGTAAATCTGTTGTAGATCGTTGCATTGAAATCTGGCCAAATATATGTAAGTTGATTGAGTTTTGATAAAAAAAGTTACCATCTTCAAAACAACCTAAATCAAAAAGCTTTTTAAATGTAAAAAAGACTGTTAAAAACTTATTATTTTAAAATTTGAAGTTTTCAGCTTTATTGCAAACATAATAGAGCCATATTTGTTGGCATACCAAACTTTAAAATCAATAAAATCTTGTTTCACACTGTTTGTGAAACAAGATGTTATTGACTTTCAGTCCAACTAAAAGAAGTTGATTTTCATAAAAAATCTACTTAAAGGAAATCAAATCAAACTAGGGTTTGCAGCTGAAACAAGACTGGCTGCTTTACGAAAGAAAGATATAATAACCATTGCTGATATTCAAAGTTTTCACAAAGATTGCACTAACATGTATGTTTGATTGATTGAAAAGTTCATGGACCGAACTCCACTAGGATCTATCATTGTACGCAACTCTCAGGTTCTTAACCTAAATGCAATGGTAGTAATGACTCAAGAAGATGCTGAGAAGAAGTATAAATCTTTATTGACCCACTTGATTAGCTTGAAATTTGTTTCACCAACCTTTTCTGATAAAGCTATAAATCAATTTGCAGATTTCTTTAGAGAATCAAGGGTTTATTAAGACATCTTTTATGAACTCAATCGAGAAAGAGATAGCTTAGACGACTTCTATTTTAAAAAATTTAACCTAAATAAATATAAAGAGATTGACTGTTAAGATATTATTAACACTAAGCCATGGACAAGCCTCAGTTGAAAGAGGTTTTAGTATAAATGCCACAGTACTAGAACTGAATTTAAATGAAAAATCAATAACTGTAAGACGTTTAGTCAAAGATCATATGCTATCAAATAATCTTCAGCCACATAATATTGAAATTACAAGCAAAATGATCGTCAGCGTAAAATCGGCACACGTAAGATATAGAAGCTACCTAAGTTCAATCGCAGACACTATCAAAAAAGAAGCAAGTCATTTGGCAAAAAAAGTTGATAGTGATGAAATAAAAGATGTTGAAACAAGGCGAGATTAACTGAAGAAAACCAGTGAAATTTTGCTGTTTGATTTTGTAAAATTTGTTGAGGAAGCAGAGGATAAGCAAGATCTAGGGTTAATTTCTAAAGCTAATGTGATGAAGCGAAAAGTAAATGAAAAAAATGAATAAATAAAGAAATTAGAGCTAGCACTTTGCATCTTAGAGCAAAAAAGAAAGTTGCTAAAATAATATATTCGTTCTCACATGAAGTTTATATTTTGTTAACAAAACACATTAGTTTTTTCAAAGCATATATAAAATGTTATTTTTTTAATATATTTCTTTTAGTTATCAGATTAATATGTTTCTTGTTTAAAACACCTTTAACGGATTGCTATAAATTAATTAAAGACAATCTCTGATTTCTTAAAAAATAGTGATAAAAAGTATTTCGGGAACAAGGATTCAGTTGCAAAAGTATTATATTTTTCAACATTGATAGGCAAAATATTTAGACTTTTCACCGCACGAACTCAGGGAAAAAATACTTGAAAATCAGGGAAAATCAGGGAAAACTCAGGGAAAATGGTTTTTAAAAATTGCCATGAACCCTGCTTCAGTTGAAGTTAAATTTTTAAATTTGTTTAAATACCTATATAGATGATTTTTACAATACCAATACAAATGTAATTGTCTGTGTACAAACTATTAATTTAATTACAATCACACATCTATAAACATCTCCATGGTAATGAAAATTGTTTGATGCAATTAAAAGAAAAGTGTTTTTTAAAACTTAAAGAAAGCATGTTCATAGAATGGTTAAAACCTGGTATGAACAAACAGGTCAACCATGTCCAAATGACACTTTCTGTTTAGTTATTTCTTTCTATGTAATTTTTTATTAACCTATTCTGTCAGTGACTCTGCAGGCATTAAGGCCCACAACCTCTGCCTTTCTCAATCTCTAACTCAAATAGTCAACTTTCCAACTTGCTTTTCAGATAACCCGAATCATTTACCTTCTCTACTCGACTAATGTCTTGTTTCTGATCCTAGTCAGTCCTCAGTTTCTTCACACTCACCCTTAGGTGCCTCCGATCATGGTTTGGTCTCTCTAAAACTATTATCTCATCCTTCTTTATCATCAGAATCACCCTATCATCATACATCTTATAACTACCTTAAAGCTGACTTGGGACTCCTGGGTAGAAATCTTTCGTCTTCCTATTGACAAATGTGCTTCTTACATAACTTCGTGGGTTCAGGCTGGCATGGAATCCTTTATTTCCTCTCGACGATTCCAGGTCAAGCTTCACTCTTCACTCAAACTTCTCCATGGTTTTCCTTGCATTGTGCTGCTGCAATTGCCAATCGAAACCATTACTTCCATATCTATCAGCAAAACAATTCTCCAGAAAACAGACGTCTGTTTATTACTGCTAGGAACCATTGTAAAAAGGTTTTGTCTAACGCCAAAGCCCGCTATTCTCAGATCTTGACTTCTGGAGAATCTTTAATCGTATCAATAATAAGGGCAAGCCTGTAATTCCACCTCTTTTGTATGGTTCAGACTTTGTCACCTCACCTAAAGACAAAGCTGAATTGTTTGCTAAGAACTTTTCATCAATATCATCTTTTGACTCCACTAGTTGCGCTCTACCTGATATAGCTGTCAAACAAGTTGATCCATTGCTCGACATCCATATCACTCCAGCTTCTGTATTTAAAGTGATTTCCTGCTTAGACTCTTCTACAGCTTGCGGCCCGGACAACATACCTGTTATAGTTTTGTAGAAGTGTTCTCCGGAGCTGTCGTCTATCCTTTCATTTAACAAGTGCTTAT